GTTGTAAGTTCGGGTGTCCGGGAAATGACTTCATGTGTTGGCAAAATTTTATATTAAAGGAAGTTTTGATCCGATTCAACTCATTTTAGACACAAAAACATACTAAAATCAAGAGTTTCATGTATTTATTTTATTATATGAATTTCAATTATATATCTTACACATGACTGATATTTTTGGTAAAAGGTGAACTTTAGGCACTGGGGTCCACATATTCAGTACCTATTGGCTTGAACACTTTTGTTTCGACTTAGACAGTTTTACGCCGATATAATCATTGTGGCTTGATTTGCATACGGAAAGTGAAAAAATCAGATGGAATTTAAAATGGTGTTATATGGGAAATAGGCGTGGTTGTAACCCGATTTCGCCCATTTTCGTACTATAACATAGAAATATGAGAAGAATGATATGTACCGAATTTTGTTGAAATCGGTTAAGCAGATCCCAAGATATGGATTTTCACCTAAAAGTGGGCGGTGCCACGCACACTGTCTAATTTTGAACGAGGTTCCCATTAAGTCATCTCACATAATTTATCGTCTGTAATACCAACCGTCTTACGGTACCAAGAAACATGTATACCAAGTTTTAAAAGATATCTCAATTTTTACTCAATTTACAGCTTGCACGGACGGACGGATAGACAGATACCCGGATATCAACTCGTCTCTACATAATGCATATTTATATATATAATCCTATATCTAACTCGATTAGTTTTAGGTGATACAAACAAGCGTTAGGTGAGCCAAACTATTATACTCTGTAGCAACAGGTTGCAAGAGTATAAAAGAGTATTTATTTGATGTACTGATACAAAGACAGTGTCATTATTATCCTATTATCCAAAATTTTACATTATTTCCTGCCTTCAGTTTGGCAAAGTTATATGAAATTGTTATATTTAAATTTCTTCATAACATTCATATCTCTCACACGAATTTTGTCCATATTTTTGCTAACAACAATCCACTGTACACTGCATCCTCGTTTCGAATTTTTAAAAGCAATTTTTTTTTTTGGCTAACTTTAAGGCTCTACCACTTCACAAACGCACTTGATCGTATTAAAAAATATGTGGAAATCGATTTTCATATTCGTGTTTCATAAACAATGCGCGCCCACAAATTTTATAACGGATTTGACTTATTTAAATAAGTCATTCATTTAAAAGTCATCAGGCAGTTAAACAAACTTGATTTTAAATTGAAATATTTTTGAAGAGTAAAATAAGTTTTACATTTCCGATACAAATTATTATTAGTTGCTTACAATTATTTTATAAGTTTATAGCTTTTTATGATTAATATTTTAAGCGGTTTCAAAGATAAAAGAACATAAATATATTAAAAAGACTATGGCAACCAATCGTTTTGAACCAACATCGTAATCAAACATATGATTTCAACCTTGACGTCATTGAACCAAATTCGTCATGCTATATAATAGTTTTGTTCACCGAACGGTTGTTTGTATCACCTAAAACTAATCGAGTTAGATATAAAATTTTATATATATAAATGATCAGGAAGAAGAGACGCGTTGACATCCGGATGACTGTCTGTCCGTCCGTCTGTGAAACTTAGTACACATGTTTCTTTTTACCGTAATACGGTTGGTATTGCAGATGGGCGTAATAGGAATACTTCCACGTCCACAAAACGTAATTAATGAAAAACAAATAAATTGCCATAACTAAGCTCCACAATAAGATACAAGACTGTGATTTGTTATACAGGATCACATTTTAAAAAGTGGGCGTGGCCCCGACCTCTAATAGGTTTGATGTGCATATCTCCTAAACCACTAAAGATATACTTAGAAAACTCTCTGGGAACAAATGTTTTTAGCACCCCTATCGACATCAAGCAACAATGATTATATCGGCGTAAAAATTTGCGTGATTAATACGTTTGAAGTATGCCTTGTGACAAAAAATTGTCTAAATCGAACCAAAACTGTTCAAGCCCGTAGGTAATAAATATATGTGGACCCCAGTGCCTATAGTTGACTTTTTACCGAAAATATCGTTCAACATAGAACAAGGCGGCAAGATCCACAAACAAATCTAAAACGAGTATACCATTTGACTTTGCGAAAGTATAAAATGTTCAGTTACATCCGAACTTGTTTTACATTGGTTCATCACCATTATTATTCTTTCAGGTGGTTTCACCAACCCGCCTTCGCGTACCTGATTGACCCATGTATTCTTCTGATCTTTCTCAAGTTTTTAATTTTTTGCAAATGTATCCCACCAAATGCTCTAGACCGTCGGATTTGAGATCCAATAATTCGTTGTCAGTACTCCGGTCCCCTTTTCTCAGTGCATTCTATATTAAAGGTTTTTTTAGGTCGGCATATACATAGAAGTTGAAGGGCATTATTTGATCGAATAATGCCTCAACTTTTAAAATATTCATTACGAATGTCGTACTTATTTTTGTAAATGCCAAAAAATTGAGTAAATGAATCATGCACTTTAAAATGATTGAACAAATTCTTGAGTTTTGACGAACATCCGTCACAAAAGAAAATCCAAAGCATTTTTTAATCCTCATTTTTGGGGAATCTCTAGAAATGTGTATTTGAACCTAATAACAAACATACATAAAATATATGGTTGTTATTTGAGTTTTGATTGTTATCAAATAACGTCCTTCATCAAAGGTACATGCAAATATAAAGCAAAATAAATAATAAAGCGAACTTGTTTAATATTACTTTTTTTTATAACACATACTTATTCATATCACTCACGTGAATTTTGCCCACATTTTTGTGCGCACTTACCCACTGCACACTTCATAGTCCTTTCGAATTTTCGAACGCGATTTTTAAACCATTTATACTTCTAATACGTTTGAAACACATTTGATATTATTTATAAAATGTGTGAAAATCGTTCTTTATAAACAATGAGCGTTCGCTGCAAATTTACCACTTTTTTTTTAACGAATTTGACTTATTTGAATATGTCGTTCTTTCAAATTTCCTCAGGCAATTAGAGTTGCTATGTGTATAGTTTTTTGTTTGAAAATTTTAATTTTATTCAAATTGAAATATAAGGTTGTCTCCCTTCCGCTTTTTTGCTCTTCATTCAATGCTTTATAAAAAGTGTTACAGTGATCGGATTTAGTTAAAATATGCGCCGTTTGTTCGATGATCTGTTTCCATCTAGACGGCAACTTCATAAACCTTCCTCGTAGAAGCCCCCTCCTTATTTGCGAAAATTCGGACAGCCACTTTTCACAAGCCTCTTTTGAGTTCTTCACACTACCAAGGCATTCGCCGCCGACAGGAACAGGTGGTAATCACTGGCGCTACGTCCGGGCTATATGGTGGATGCGATAACCTCCATCCGAGCTCCCGAGCTTCTGACGAGTCATCAACAGAGTGGTGTGGCGATGTCCTGGTGGAACACTACACCCTTCCTGTGGCCAATTCTGGACGCTTCTGGTCGATCGCCTGCTTAAGCGGTCAGTTGTTCGGTAGATGGTAGAATTAAGCGTCTGGCCATATGGGAGCAGCTCATAGTGGATGATTCCCTTCAATCCCACCACACAGCAAAACCTTCCTGGCCGACAATCCCGGCTTGGCCACTGTTTGGGACGATTCACCGTCCTTCGACCACGACCGTTTTCGCTTGATATTGTCGTATGATCCATTTTCGTCACCACCCATCCGCTTCAAGAATGGGACGAGTTCGTTCCGTTTCAGCAGCATATCGCAGGCGTTGATTCGGTCCAGAAGATTTTTGCGTCAAATTATGCGGCACCCAAACATCACTTTTTGTTCAGCCTTCTGCAGATGGTTCAAAATGGTTTGTGACTAACTCCCATCTCCTGGGCGATGTCGAGATGCCATATGCCGGTCTAACTCGATGTATTCCATGATTTGATCGGTATTTGTCGTCACAGGTCTTCCGCGCTGTCTATCCATGGTGTCGTTTCACCGGCTCTGAATCGTCGAAACCATTCCTCCGCGGTTCGAAGTGATTGTCATCCCCCAAAACACCATTAATCTCGGAACGTTCTCTAGCGGATTTGCCTTTAACGAAAACTTTAAATAGCGCGATTTCGGCGTTAGTGAACTCCATGTTTACACGTCTATAACTGTTGAACGCAATATCCAAACTAATCATGCATAGCGTTGTTTTGTAGGTTATGTCAAGACCTTTCAAATTATGTATAGTGTTGCCTGATACGAGCTCTGTAGCGCTTTGTACATAGCCGCGAAATTCAAAAGACAAAAAAGCCGAAGGGAGATATTTGACAACCTTATATTTTGAAGTTCTAACAAATTTTTTTAAAGGTCAAACCATTTCATGACATCTTTGATACAAATTCTTATTAATTACTAACAAGAAAATGACAATTTAATAGTTCGTATAGTTAATAATTTAAGTTATTCCAAGAATAAAATATACCAACAAATCTAAGAGACCAATTTGGTTGGTTACCATATTTTTGTTAATATGTTTATGTTCTTGTATCTATGAAACCGCTTCAAATATTAATCATACAAAGCTATAAATAAACTGATAATTTATTTGTAAACAATTAATAACAATTTGTATCGGAGATGTTATGAAGTAGTTTTGCATTTAAAAACCTTATTTTATTCTTCAAAAATATTTCAATTTAAAATCAAGTTTTAATTTTTCACAAAAAATTTATACACATTGCAACTCTAACTGCCTGATGACTTTTAAATGAATGACATATTTAAATAAGTCAAATCCGTTATTAAATTTGCGGCCCCCATTGTTTATAAAAAACGAACATGAAAATCGATTTCTACACATTTTTTAAATAATATCAAGTGTGTTACAAAAGTGTTCGAAGTTAAAATTTTTGCAAAAATCGCTTTTAAAAATTCGAAACGAGAATAAAGCGTACAGGAATGAAGGTATTAAAATTTAAAAATTTCGTACAATATGTTTTCCTTGTATATTTCTTAAGACTTATCAAAAATGAAAGTTTAAAAAAGCTTTGGGTTATCTTATGTGACGCAGAGGGTAGTCAAAATTCCAGATTTTGCCCCAATCATTTTAAAATGGATGATTTCAAAGAATACATCCTATTCAAATTTGGTAAGGTTCACAGTCATGGTTAGGTTTAAGCAGAGAACGTAAAATACAGAGAAGGTCCAACTACGGACCCGCGTGTGAATTGTCAAAACCTAACAAAATCGTATGACGCGTGTATTCGACACCAGTCGCTCGGCCGGAAGGGTGGAAATTTTACAGTGTGCGCGACACGAAGGTGACAGAGTCTGAGCATTGTATGAAAATTATGCTCAGAGACTTGCGTTTGATTTTTACAGCGCTCTGTTACTCTTTTCGACTTATATTTTTTGTGGTGTTGATGTCGTTGCAGGAACGATGCGCACGCCGGTGGGCTGCCAGCAGGAGAGAGCTTACCGTTGTAATAGTCTTTATATACAGCAGGCGTCCTCGAGCCTAACTGTTGACTATGTATTCTGGGGTATCCCGTTATTTGTTGGTATTTGCTCAGTCTCGCTTGTGTTTCGACGTCTCTTGGTGCTCGTTCGTTAGTTATCGGTTCTACAGGCCATGGATCTTTTGGTCATGAGGCCAACTGGAATCATTGGCTCAGGCACTTCTGGACTATGGTTGATTTTCCGTCGTTAGTTAATTATCATTGTACGTGATTATGTGATTTCAATCCCAACATCATTTTTATTTCGCGTTATTTGGCGTAATTTCTATTCTATTTCGCACTCAATGTTATTAATCAATCTGTTTAGCGCTTATTATGAATAATCATTAGCATAATCACGATTATGATATTCATTTGGAATTTTTAGATAATTAACAATGTACATATTACTTAAATAACATTCTAATTATTAATAATATTATGTTCAATAGTATTTATTTTAAAATATTAATGATTTTATTTATTTAAGTTTTATTAACATAATTGATGACATTTATTCTAATGATTATATAGTATAGATATTTAATTTTATTCAACATAAATCTTTCTGTATAAATATAGAAGTAGTATCTAAACTTTTATTTTACAATATATGTATATGTTTACTCATATTAATTACACATTCTATTATTACTTCTACATTGTAATATCATTATATTTAATATCTGTCACAAAGCCATTTGAATGTCTGGATATACACGTAAATATCAAATCTAGGATTTTCAATAACAACAAAACGACCAAAGTATTATAGTGCTCAGCAATTGATTTATTATGTCAGAATGTCATACAAAGGTATTTAATGATATCAAAATGCAATTTCGAACAACACCAATATATGGCCCAAAAGAATTAATGTATATCAAAAATTGGACACCTAACATTAATGTATGTCTATGACGTATACATATCGATATTAATATGTCACCCGCAAAAACTACAACATTGTTCTACAAAAACAATAATCGTCACAAGTCAATATGTCAGCTAAATAGCGAATCCCAAATTATAAGTAAATATACAACACAACAACTTTTCATTCATGAACGCAGGCGTACTTTTAACACAACTTCGCTTCATTCATAAAACAGTACTCGCACATCCCCCGAGCATGCTCTTGCCTCCAAAGTTTTTCACGACGATGGCAAAAGCTAAAATCATAAATTGAACAAATTTCTGATATTCCCTCTAGAAGGGAAAAGTGACAACTCCGCAAATTAGAGTATTAAAATATTTTAGAATAAAAGTGACAACATAGTATATTTGTCGGTTTACAATTCAAGAAACTTCTTAAAGAAAATATTCAATATTCCTTTAATGTATGTATACTGTAAGCCCCGGTTAAGTATCACTCCTCCAATCCTCTTATCTTGTCTGCTGCATCCACTTTTTCTTAATTTTTAAGGAAACGGTAATTTTTAAATACATAGAAATTATTTTTTGTACCACTCGCTTAAGTACCACAATCGCTTACGTACTACAAAGCACAAAAAATCTGCAACTTTGTTTGTGAAAGAATGTAAATATTCGAATTTTTGTACACACATCTGCCCGTATATATGCACATGCCTTGATGACTTGTTTTCCATTTACGCATGCCACGTTGTATATGACTGGGGTTGATTTTGCACTTGCCCATATCGATATATGTTTGGAAAGGTGTGTATGGTTCCCATGAAACAAAGCCTTAGACACAGTGACTCTTTGACCATTGGTTGTCTGTGGCAACGGAGATTTCCCATAACAATGAGTGTACATATTTACATACATATGTTGCATGTAGACAAATTAATAATTATAATGGGTACCTTCATATTTGTTTACATGCACACATAATTATACATACTTATGTATAAGAATATTTGCGACCGCTTGTCTTTTCTTATGGTTAGTCAAGCAAGAGGTGTACAAAATCAAACCAGAAATCTGACATGAACTGAAGCAGTCCATTAAATAGATAATTGAGGCAATCCCGAATTAGGTGTCGCATATGCGTGGTTGAGTATGGAAGAATAATTAATTGTTTAAATAAAATAAAATTTTCTATACAATAAAAAAAATATATGTAATGCATTGACTAAAAAGAAATTTATTGCGGTTTAATTTTGTAGCACGATTCGTTAGCCGCCCTGTATAGCAGAATATCTTCAAATATAGGTCGTTTGGCATTGTAAATTACGAAACTGTAAGCGTAAAATTCTTAACTTGAAATTAGCATTATTTTTCTCAATTAACATTGAAAATGCTCAATTCTGCTATTTTTCAGTCCCCTGATGTTAATTGTAGCCATTTGGTGAAACATGCTCATCGTTTTCAGTCCCCTTCCAAATGTGGTGAAACACGCTCATCTTTTTCAGTTCCCCTGCGAAACGTGAAATATTTTGATAATGGCCGCACTGAACCTTCTCTATGATATACGTTCTCTGGTTTAAGTCTATCTTAATATGTATTGATATATAGCAAATAATGATTTGAACAAAAAACGCAAAAATAAAAACCAGTAACATACTAATGATGATTTTTTTTTTCAAATTCGTCCCACTGTATGTATGACGATGTTGGTTCAATGACATCAACATTGTCGTAACCTTTTATTATATAAACGTTGGGCAGTCTCTTTTTTCTACTAGCAGAAATTTCTCTCAACTTCTTACGCTCTCAAGGTTTTTATCTGCGTTTACAAGTATACTGGCTTTGGGGGTCTTCCGCAAATCAAAATACTGTTATAGTCTGTAAGTATACCGTAGTAAATCTAACCGTAAGGCTAAAATCATCGGCAAATAACTATAAGGCAATTATATAATATATGTACATTCATAAGGACAAGGGAAAGTTTTGATAATTTTGGATTCTATTATTTATTTTCAGAGAAACAAGCTGTCCACATTGTAGGTTACCCAATCCACAGACTCACAGGTTATACATTGATTTCGATGATACTGCAACCGATATAAAATTAAATGAAATCAAGGCCCAATTGGATTTAACCGAGAAATCAAGAAGTGAACTGCAATTACAACTAGATGTGACTGAAAGTAATTTTTCTGGTCTTCAAATAATTCTTTCTGAAGCAGAGGAAAAAATATTGGATCTCAAATATAAAAATGATTATTTGAAAGCCCAAAACGACAGCAGAGAGCAAGCAATTGCAAAAGCTGCAGAAGAATCTAAGGAATTTTTAATTATAATAAGTAGTTTGGAGGACAGTCTTAAAGAAGAGATATTAGAAAAAGGAAAACTAGTACTAGAAATGGGAAAAAGAGTCTCTGAATGTACAAGTTTAAATAATGCAAATAATAAACTGGAAGCGTTGGTTAAACGTAATGAAAACTTTCTTGATAACACTCGCAAACAGTACGAAGCAGTAGAAAGTGCACTTAAAATAAAAATAGAGCAGTTAATTGAAGAAATAGTTGCCAAAAGCGCATTAATAGAACAACTAGAGAAGAGAATAAGAGAGATCGGAAGTAATAACCAGAATTTCCAAAAATATTCAGACCAGCGAGAAATCCAGCGATACAATACTTCTGAAATAGTCATACAAAAACTAAAATTGGAAAGAGAATTAGAACAAACTTTGGATAAAATTGTCGAGTTGGACAATAACCACACCAGAGATATAGAGATTTTAAATTTGGAAATTGATAGTTTAAAAGCAGATAACGAGAGAAAGGATAACGAGATTGCAAATAGAAGAGAAGAGCATGCGAAGATGATGACCAGACTTAGTTCACTGGGCTCAAAAGCAACAGAAATAGCACTTCGTAAACGCATTGAACTTTTAAAGATTAAATTGGAAGAGTCGCGTAGTGAACTCGAAAGCTCTTTTAAAAATTCTAATGAATTGAACCACTGTATCTCAAAGAACAAAGCTGAGAGTCAATTGCTAGAGGGCGCCACCTCCAGTGTGATTAAATATTCGTCTGCAGTCGAACCCCAAAACAATACTACCTCCTCAACGAATCAAATAGAGAGGTTTTATAATAACACAAGTGTTGTTATTAGAGGTGTACCTGACAGGGATATTAAAGATCCACTGGCTGATACAGTGTTAATGCTTACAGAAATTATGAATTTGCCGTGCACGGCTGCAGATATTAAAAATGTATACAAACTCAACCTCACATTTAAATTGAGAAATACTATGCAGAAAGGTAAAACATCTTTAGTTGTAACTTTCACAACTCTTAATCTAAAAATAAAATTTTTGGAAAACAAGTCAAAGTTAAGAAACAGAGCTCTAATAGTTTCAGCATTTATCGATAAGGAAACATACGAGCTTTTTCATTATGCAAAATCATTAAAATCCATAGGTTACCATGTTTTTTATAAAAATAATAATGTATTCGCCCGAGATAGAAACAATTCTGAAACAATAAAAATTATCAGTAAATTAGAAGTTGACAATATTATCAAAAATTCAAATAAACAAATAACCGAAAATCATAAAATGTCATTAACGGAAGCTAGCCAAGAAAGTTTAATATATAAAAAAGATGGAGATGAAAATGCACAACTCTCTGCTGAAGAATGTGATGATGAATTTTATCGTAAATGATATATGGAATATAAATATGTACATACATATCTATTTAAATACCCCTCGTGTTGAATATGCATATATGATTATGAATAAGTTATTTAGCACTGTATAGCTAAAAAAAAACGTGCCAAATTGCCCAGAACGCGTTAATTTTAGTGAAACAATTGTCAAATTACAATTTATTTTACATATATAAATTTTATTCACTAAAGTCACAAATAAATGTTCAATTAAATAAAGTGTTATAATGTTGTATTGCACTCTCGTAATGTAATGGATATGATAGCTCAGTGCGATTCTAGTTTATACCATAACTTTTTTTACAGCACGGTCCGGGGCCAGTTTTTGTTAACAAGAGAAAAGATTTCTTTCAAAGAGAGTAAGACGAAATTGTCGATGTAAAGTCTCTATCCTTTTGATTTAAATTGGTCGATTAGTTGATAAAGTGTGTTTTCGTGACAATAAGGCGACAAAGGTTAGAATAGTGGGGGAAATAAAACATGAATCGTATATATCATAAAAATAAATAATATTCTATTACGCATCTATAATTGCGCGAGTACAGCATTCGACAACAGAATACCGAATGGAACTTAAAGAGAGAATATATGGTAATTGTACTGCAGTCAATTGTATACCTATATTGTGCGTGTGTTTCGTATGAAATACTATCAACCCTTGATTCAATTACATACAGGTTGTGATTCTACAAAGCGTGCTTTCTCTTACGAAACTTTTTTTAATCCAAATGTCTAAAATAATTTTTTTTTGTTTTTCTTATGAATTTTGTGTGATTTACAATCTATTCGTATTCATATCACTCAAACAACACATTCCATTGGTTAAATTTAAAAAAATAAAACTATTTTTAATCATAAGTTTAAAAACTAAAAGGGTAAACACTTTTGTATACTAGTAACTCGATACGACACCCTTGGTTTGTGAAAATCAATATATGTATGTTTTGTTTATAATTTTCAGACGTACACAACTGCACTCTTCGACTGTTTTTATATTCTTGCAACATGTTGCTACAAAGTATAATAGTTTTGTTCACCTAACGGTTGTTTGTATCTCTAAAACTAATCGAGGTACACTTGCGGTCGCGCGGTTTCTTAAATTTTCGTTTCGATTTCTTTTAAATTATTAACACGACTAAACTTTGTATTTCAATTTAAAAGAAAAGAAAACACTAATAATAATAAATTTAAAAATTATTAATTCGCGTGTCACTCTCTTATATTTCGAGCTCATTTTGTACAACTGAAGTGTTCTATTTTTAATATTTTTGATAAATAACATGTAAATTATGTTACTTATTTCTAAAAAGGGTAATTCAAAAACGTTCACAAAGATTTTAGTATTCCTATGGTAAAGAAAGAAGTAGAGGTTAGCAGAAAGAACTATGAATTTAAACTCCGTAACCATCAAAATCCATTAATCAAACTCGCTTAAAAAGGAAATATCTACCAGCCTTCTAAGTGCAACGAATCACAAAACGGCTCAACTAGAACCTTAAGCTTGCTTAATTTTAATTAGATTTAAGATTGTATTACATATTGTTAGGCTTTGCACAAACCGATTCAATAAATAAAGATATATTAACAAAATAAAAAAAGAGACATCAAATATTACATACGAGATAGTACGAAAGGGCTTTCTAAGAGCCGGTGCCGAATTGGGACGATGCGATATCTCAGGACCTAATCAACCGATTTCAACCACAATTGGTAGTTAATATTTTCCTGAAATTCCTAATTACAGTGCGAAATCAGATAAAAACACGTCTCTTTTCCATATAACACAATTTTATATTCCATCTAAATAAACTTTGCATGAATAGTGCCTTGTCCAATTCGGGCCAAAACTATTCTAGCTCCCAGATACCGAATATGTAGACGCCAGTTCCTATTGCGAACTCTTATCGAAAATATCGGTCAACCTGTCAGATATATTATTGAAATTCGAAAGATTTTTCCCGGCTTTATTCTTGCAAGTTGCAAGAGTATAAAATGCTCGGTTACACCAGAAATTAACCCTTCGTTATATGTTTTAAAGGTTAAAGTGATAAATTTTTCAGTTAGAAACGTTTTTAAAAAATAAAAAATAAGTACATATTTTCTTTACAGATACTCAATGTATTCAAATCTAAACTTCACAAAATATATAGGAACTGTCTGAGCAGTTTCCTGATTTGGACACTTGTCCAGAGAACGTATATCATAAGAGGGTTCACAGTGCGGCCATTATCAAAATATTTCACGTTTCGCAGGGGAACTGAAAAGATGAGCGTGTTTCACCACATTTGGAAGGGACTGAAAACGATGAGCATGTTTCACCAAATGGCTACAATTAACATCAGGGGACTGAAAAAATGCAGAATTGAGCATTTTCAATGTTATTGAGAAAAATAATGCTAATTCAATGTTAAGAAATTTACGCTTACAGTTTCGTATATTTACAATGCGCAAACGACGCATATAATTTGAAGATATTCTGCCTATACAGGGCGGCTAACGAATCGTGCTACAAAATTAAACCGCAATAAATTTCTTTTTAGTCAATGCATTACATATATTTTTTTTATTGTATAGAAAATTTTATTTTATTTAAACAATTAATTATTCTTCCATACTCAACCACGCATATGCGACACCTAATTCGGGATTGCCTCAATTATCTATTTAATGGACTGCTTCAGTTCAGTCAGATTTCTGGGTTTGATTTTGTACACCTCTTGCTTGACATAACACGATAAGAAAAGACCAAGCGGTCGCAAATATTCTTATACATAATATATGTATAATTATGTGTGCATGTAAACAAATATGAAGGTACCCATTATAATTATTAATTTGTCTACATGCAACATATGTATGTAAATATGTACACTCATTGTTTCATGGGAAATCTCCGTTGCCACAGACAACCAATGGTCAAAGAGTCACTGTGTCTAAGGGCTTTGTTTCATGGGAAACCATACACACCTTTCCAAACATATATCGCATATGGGCAAGTGCAAAATCAACCCCTAGTCATATACAACGTGGCATGCGTAAATGGAAACAAAGTCATCAAGGCATGTGCATATATACGGGCAGATGTGTGTACAAAAAATTCGAATATTTACATTCTTTCACAAACCAAAGTTGCAGATTTTTTGTGCTTTGTAGTACGTAAGCGATTGTGGTACTTAAGCGAGTGGTACAAAAAAAATAATTTCTATGTATTTAAAAAAAATTACCGTTTTCCTTAAAAAATTAAGAAAAAACGTGGGATGCAGCAAGACACAGGCAGATAAGAGGGATTGGAGGAGTGATACTTAACCGGGGCTTACAGTATACATACATTAAAGGAATA